TGTGTGTGTGTGTGAGAGTGCTGAGACTAATATGAGAAATATAATACAGTAAATGATGTAGTTAGACAGGACAGTGGTAGACAGTAGTGTAATATACTAGTATAGTATAGTAGTATATTACACTATAGTACTACTGTAGTATACTAGTAGCAGAGTATAGTAGAGTACTAGATACAGTATACGGTGTAATGTAATCATGATATATCATACCATGATATAATATCTCATCATGACAGAATATTACATGTAACATGGTTCACAAACAGAATGGAGGTCAATGGGATGAATGGCAGTGAAGAGAATGTGATGTTCTAAAGTTAATGGGATGAATGGAGATGAAGGGTAGAACTGATGATGATGATGATGTTTAAGATCAGTTAAAGTGAATGAAAATCAAACAGATCTCCATTTGTCTTTCAGAACCTGTTTTGGAGAACACGAGGTAAGAACCAGTTTGTTGACGTTTGACTCCCAGTTTAACCAGTTTATCACCAGTTCACATCCTGTACTATCTTCAGCCTTCGTTTGGTAGATTGATCTCTTCCTCCTCTTCACTTCTTCATCTCCTCTTGGCTGTTTTTATTTTCTGTCTCGTTCCAAAACATCCATTATTAGTTTGTCCTTCTGACCTCCTCTTGCATTTTCATCCCATTTAGTTGCTTTGTATTCAACACACACACACACACACTCTCTCACCACACACACACACTCTCACACACTCTCTCTCACACACTCTCACACACTCTCTCTCTCACACACTCTCACACACTCTCTCACACACACACACACACTCTCTCTCTCTCACTCTCACTCTCACACTCACACTCACACACACACACACACACACTGTACTGAACTGTGTTGTGTCCATCAGGTCAGTCCGGTGCTGTGTCATCGCAGAGGTCGATTCTCCTGTAGACGACCTTGCGGACGACCTTTGACCTGTGGAAACCACGACTGCAGCCGGGACTGTCACCTGGTTACCGACGGCAACAAGGTGATGGCCTCGTTAGGGCGTCGATTAATGAAAAAAGTTCGTGAGGTGATTTGTAGTGGTGACGCAGTGTAGTTTTATCGGGACAGTCTGTGTTTTATCGGGACAGTCTGTGTTTTATCGGGACAGTCTGTGTTTTATCGGGACAGTCTGTGTTTTATCGGGACGCGTTGGGTTTTAATCACTCTCTCTCTCTCTTTGCAGTGTGAGGTTTGTGATGAGAACTGCTCTAAGCCCCGCCCCCCCGGCTGCCCTCACCCTTGTTCCCGCCCCTGTCACCCCGGCAACTGCCCCACCTGCAGCCAGATGATCCGCCAACGCTGCCACTGCAAGATCAGCATGCTCTACGTGGAGTGCACGTCAGTACACACTCTCATGTGACCACTGATATATGTTGGTATTAAAATGCTGACTCGGGTGCGATGCGTCACGTGTGACCGGACATTACTTCAATTAACATCAACAGAATGTGAAGAGGTCACTGTGTTGATGTCAAAGACAGAGATATCATGTTAGCATGCTAACCAGCTAGCCCCGGCCCGTCCTGTAATGCCACTTGTAACCTGAAGAGGCGATAGTGAGTCACCATAGTATCCACTCAGTCCAACATGAGAGGACCAGGAGTAGATCTGGAGGTGGAGACCAAAAACAGAGCAAAAAGAGAGACTAGTGACACAAACACAGATGTGGAGATAAGCAACTGGTAGTTAACAAGTTCATGTTTTCTGCAGCTTTAAGTAACTTTGTTATTGATACACATCAAGTTAATGTTATGATTCATAAAGTTATATTGAAGATTGTTTTTGTCTCTATAGGAAGTTGACATCAGCTGATGAACAGACGAAGGTGGAGTTGGGCTCCTGCAACAACCAGTGTCCTAAAGAGGTGAACACACACACACACACACACACACACACACACACACACATACAGGACTTACATCCTTCTATGGAGACCTCGGCTGGGTGCCCCATTGCATCATGGGACTTGTTTATCAGGCTCTGGAAGTGGAGTCACCTGCCTGTCATGACTGTGTGTGTGTGTGTGTGTGTGTGTGTGTGTGTGTGTGTGTGTGTGTGTCAGTGTCACCATGCAGAAGATAAAGCAGGAAGTCACATTGTTCCTTCTCTCCTTTTGATTCCTCTGCTCTTCCTCCGTCCCAATCAATAATCAATAATTGTCGGTGTCACGGAGGGAGTAACACAATACTATCCAGTCGTCTCGCTCCAATAATCAATTCAGCTCTGTGGCGCCAGACGACACGCACACACACAGACACACAGTATCTCTTGAGTGTGTTTTACTTTCACCTGGGAATGATTTAGCTTTTTCATTCTGTCACTTACTGGCACACACACACACAGATGTTTGTTTGAAGTGTGTGTGTGTGTGTGTGTGTGTGTGTGTGTGTGTGTGTGTGTGTGT